CACTTTTTTTTCTATCGCAGCCATATTTGTAAATGCAGAGTGCCAAAGGATTTTTCTTTCGTCCTAGACCTAAATAACCAGACTCTTTTTTTTCTTCCTCATTTGACAGTAATAGTTCCACGTTGGCTTGAATAAGATATCCACTTTTTTCTTTTTTTTTTCTCATCGTATCAATAGCTAGGCTTCGGTAACTCGAAAACCTCATCTTATAGGGTTTTTTTTTCCAATATAGCTTCCTGGTTTATTTAAATTATCTGTCTCATTTTTGTGACATCATTTAGCTATCATTAATTGGATGCATCGATGAGAAGCTCTATTTTGAGTTTTTCTGATTTGAATTAGAAAAAATTTCCAACTTTAAATTTCAAAAATTTTCAAACTTTCCAAACACAATTCAACAAAGATCAACAATTTATTCCGAATACTATTCAAATTTGTAGTTTTTTTTTTCTTTTTCTCAATGAAACTTTATCTTTTCAAATCTATTTCTGCATTATCACTATCACTGAATAGAGCAGTTAGCTGAAGAAAGCTGAGTTATAATATTTTTTGATGTTTAGTATTTCTTGTTGTTGTGGTATTTCTTGTTGTTGTGGTATTTCTTGATGTGATGGTATTTCTTGATGTAATGGTATTTCTTGATGGTATAGTATTTTTTGACGGTATAGTATTTCTTGATGTTATAGTATTTCTTCTTCATCCAATTAATTTCTTCATCAATTTCTATTTGCGGAAATTTTCTTTGCATAAACTAACAAATTTCAATTAAAATTCAAATTCTGCAAATTTGTCTCGAAAATTTTGCAACATTATCAAATGTCATTGAATAAATTAGGAATGGTGACCGATTTTTGATTGAAATAAGCGATTTCATTAAATGAATTCATCCATTTTCTTTTTTTTTCTTGAAAAAATAATTTAAATTGAATTGTATTGAAAATGTCAACAGTTAATTGCATTTCAAATAATATTTCATCGTATAAGATGACAGCTTATTCATCATAGAAATGAGCTTTGAACGATCCGTTCTTCACAAGATATGAGAAGCACTTCACAAATAAGACTTTAACGATTTTGCTAACAATTTGTCCGAAGTAAACATAAGCGCATACACAGACAGACACACACACACACACACACATACACACATGCACATACACAGACAGACATATACAAACAACATTAGATGAGAAAAAGTAAATTGGTGTTAGTTATTGAATAATAAAATATATCGTAAAATTCATTCAATATATATTATGAGGAGTTGTATAAGTAATGGATAGGGATGATCTTGTATAATAATGTCATCTTCATTAATTAATGACATTTTGTTTTTCAGGTTTGAAAGGAAGAAAAAAAAAAAGAAATTCTCCAGGATATACTCTCCAAATCTAACTATTTTATTCATTCTTATTAAATTTCCTGTATATATTTTGATTATTTCAATAAAATTCAATTTGTTGATGACAAAAAGAGAATTGATTATTATAAGATGAGATGACAAACAAAAATTATAAGTGATGTATATAATTGATGGATATTAAAGTAATCAATGTTAATTGTGATAAGATTATTTTGATAATATTTGGTCGAAAATTCTGGAATATCTACTTATTTCATTCTCGAGAGATTAATTTGAGGTAACGTAATTTTATTTATATAATAATAATAATAATAATTAAAGTTTCATTTATTTCCTTGCATTTCCATACTTTTTTGTTCAGTCTTTTTTTCCTTTTTCTTTTTTCTTTCTAAATATAAAAGGAACAAATTAGAAATTTCGACGTTTAATTAAACTTGACATTTGAATAAATCTATCAGTCAGTTATCTTATTTGAAGTGACATTCAAGTGAATTCAACAAATGTTCCATTCAAAATTTGAATGAATTTTCCGAGCATTGTCACATCGTGTAGTAAATTATTGTTCTATCATATTACGGAATACTGCTCTTGTCAGTTTCTGTTTCATTTTCACAAAGCTAAAATTTTTCGTAACTTTAGCAAATGTTCCATTTGAAACTTGAGTGAATTTTCCGGATACTGCCACCTCACAATATTGTTCTGTAATATTACGGAATACTGCCTGCTACTGCCTGTTCCTGTTTTATTTCCGTAAAGCTAAAACCTTTTCTACTGTTCATCTTCTTCTTCTCTTTTATCAGATGATTGATATTGATTACATTTTAAACAAAAGCATTCATTGATTTTAAAAATATTTCTCTCAATTGATGATATTTTACGCTCTTTGCAGATAGATGTAATGGAGTGGCTAACAAGATATTGGTATATTTTGCTAATTTATATCTTTCAAACTATTGCCCAGGTATGTTCATAATGATTATTATTGATTTGATTAAATTAAAGTTGGAAAAAAAGCACAAATGTTGTTGTATACATATAAAAAAAGACAATAGAATTATTTCAGTGTCAAAAGGTCAACAAGATAAGAAAGGTTTTGATAACTCTTTAGTCTAATATTTAGCATCAGAATTAATAGGATAGATGTGGCATGAGAGATTGTATGCTATATGTTTCACTCATGAGTGATATTATCGTGTATAGAGTTTCGCTTTGAAGAATAGAGTTCAAAGGTTAAATCATTGTTTCTTCTTTATAATGTACAGAATGATTTGGGAAGGATTTGCTAACCAAATTCATGTCAAAAACGCGCATCCCTTATCGGACTTGACACGATTTTAACTGATTAAAATTTTCCGGATAAACTCAAATCTTCTGAAAAATTATTATTCAATTCAACTCCTTTAACCATCTAGACATTCTTTCATTTTAAAATTTAGTTCATTATTTAGAAACTGTTTTTGGCGTGTCAAATTAATGGAAATAAGTTGGGTTATTTTAAAATGAGATTTTGCAATGATAAAGTGTGACAGAAGTGATGATGCAAGTCACGTCAACATTATTTGGTGGCGTTTTTTTCAATCATTTTTGAATTTTCTCAGAATTAACTATTTCAAAATTTTCTTTAACAATCATTTTGACATCTTTTAGTTTTCATTCATTTATGGAAATAGCAAAATAGAACCGTAAATTTTGTGGTCTTCATAGTTTCTTCCTATCATCTGATTCCATTGAAAATTCTGCTTCATGATTCTACGATGATCATTGGTCGATGGTGTTTGTCTCGGTATTTTCAAATCACTTTCTAGTCCTTTTATGATAGCTAATCAATTTAACCAATGGATGTTAAACTGCTGAAATGAGGGTAATTCCGATTAGAACTGGAATTTCTTGGCTTTAATGATTGTATTATTGATTTTAGCATGGATTATCCAGTAGTAATTAATTCTCAATCAGTCTATATTTTCTCATTCTCAGAGAAATCCTTTGAAAAAAAAAGACGACATTATTGCAAAACGGCCGAGTGACATTCATCATCTTCCCTAACCTCACCATCATTTAGCATAATTGCGACAATCAATTTCCTTTTCCTGTCTCATATTCCAATCTCATTAGATCCCAAAATTGACATGCGACAAATGATCAGAGAGGGTTTTGTTTACATAACTAAATTTGAAGTGAATATATTTGCACAGCTAAGCAAGCTTCCAATTACTGCTATTTTCCTTTACTACCAATATTTGAGTTCAAATTATGGATTTGAGATCATATAGAGAAGAAACATTTCAAGATCATATCACCGATCGTATCATGTCTACTTGGATTGAGATACTCGAGAATCATGAAATCTCGATATCTGTTACTTAGTTGATACATTGTACTGTCAATCCTGGAATAGGATTAGAAGGTTTTGAGAAAAATTCCTATTCTGCTGGAAAATAACTGGAAAATAAATTACACAATCAAGTAATTACTTGGTAATTAACGGCTAAGAGGAACAAAATCTGGCTAGGAGTTTTAAAATCTTTTTTTTTCTTTTTTTTTGCTAAAATTGGTTTCCGTTTTCGTATAAAATTATAAATTTCATTTTTTCCTTCCAAATATTCATTTATTATTTTCACTGAACTCTTTTGATAAGATTGTTTGGAGTGATCGATTTTAAGCAATAATTGTTATAATTATGTAATTTATGATATTAGATATTTGTTAACCTCAGAATTAGAAACCAATAAGTCTTATTTTGAAATGAACAAAGTTGAAGAATTACAAATTCACATGATATTCTGATCCTTGCTGACTACATGCATGCATATTCCTGCAGCAGATAGCTTACATCAAAAGTCTTTACATGGATTTTCCAAGACATATCATTATTAATTGGCCAAAGAGGTGAATGAGTTTAAAAATCTGCCATTCAAACTATCCCTAAGTTAGTTCTATCGTTGATTCACCGTTATAAATCTAAAAGGTTAAAATTTTTTAAATATAAAAGTAAAACTTAGACTAATTGGAACGAAAAGAAAAAAATACTCAAAAAGGAATAGAATAACAGAATAAAGTAAATAAAATAAAATGTAGCAAATAAACTGTGAAAAAAAAATGGTAAGTAAAAAAATAAAATAGTAAATAATTGGCAGACCAAATCACTGATCTTTGTTTAATAAATCAAAAAATAAAGCATTGATTTTTACTTGATAAATAATAAAACTACAAGGTTGATCTTTGTCGTTTGCTGTATAAAATGAATTAATATCAATTAATATCTTACTTTAAGGTATATAATGTGTTCAAAAATAAAAAGCAGTTTTTTTTTTTTTTTTAATCTTAGATTTTCATCGAATTTTTCTCGTTTTTTTGCCAATAAAATATCATTTATAGCATTCACAACACCAATCATTACAATGTGGTACGGTAGCATTCGATAAATTATCATTCGATCCACCATTTCGATCGAATTCTCTACCAATTGGTCGTTTACTTTATATACCATTGGAACAAATTGTTGGCGGTGATATATGTCGATTAGTTACCACTACTTCAAGATCAAATTCCGTATATTCCTTTACCAATTATCAGGTTCTTCTTCTTCAAATCATTTTTCCGGAATAGAAGAGAATCTAATCATTTACTGTCATCTTAGCTCCCAGAAGTTTTTCGAGCTATTTAATTTTGAATGGAATAAAGCTAGCAATTAGTGAATATTATCCCATAATATCAAGATATCCTGCTTATCTCGCTTGTCTGCTTATTTTACCTCCTGGCTCATTTTATTTTGAATATATTGGCCAACAATCTCCATAGTTAATTATTACTGATTTTTATGAACTTATGGTGATAAAACTTTAAATTGTGCTAAAGAATTAATTAATTTGTAGCAAATAATAACAATTTGTGGGAATTGCACGGAATGCCCAACCAGTTTGAGCAGTATTTATTTATACTTGAAACGAATGCTAAAAGATATGGAAATTTCATTAATTGTTATCATTCGTGGTATCAATCATCGACAAGTGAGCAATATTAATGATGAGAAAAAGGTTCATTTTGCATTTATCGAGGAAGAAATACCAACTGCGCTCGATGATTGTCAAATTATTGATGGAAATGATGGAGATGCTTTGCGTAGTTTTTCAAAAACTTCCGTTCTTTTTGTCTCCATCTCATTTATCATTTTAATGATCATTTCGCTTGCTTGGCTTGTCTTCTATTATGTACAAAGGTAAGAAACTTTTCACTCCATTTCCTTTAATTAAATCATTTTTTTAAGTTTCTATCGGCTTTTAAAATTATTTATTTTGAATGATAACAAACAAAATTAGATGCTTGGTTTACATCAAAACAGTGAGAAAAAAAAAGAAAACTTACAGTAATATGTTTTTCAACAACTCAATAAATTAATTGATAGGAAGAAGCCTGATAACTTAATTGATAGGAATAAACCTAGTAAATTGAAAGGAAGAAGCCCAGTAATTTAACTGGTAGGAAGAAATTTAGTAGTCTAATTGATAGGAAAGAGCCTAGTGACTTAATTGATGGAAAGAAATCTAATAGCTTAACTGGTATGATAATTAGGCTCTTTCTCATTTAATTCTTTTTTTTTTTTAATAATCGAGAAGACAGCATAAATACTTCTTGCTATAGTACTGCAAGATAATATTATTAATACTATCATATTACCCAATCTTATTCCGATTATATCGATGGAACGATACTGTTAAATAGATAGAATTTTATCTTTTCTTTTCATTTATCCATTTCATGAATTTTCGTTCGAAATATTTTACCAAAAATTTTATTCTGAAACATTTTGTCCTTTTTTTCTGCATTTTCTTGAATTTGTATTGAATCTTTTGTAAGTCGATAACGTTGACTCTCAGAATTCTTCACATTAAATCAATCAGTTTAATCATTCTTGAACCCTATTATAATCATATTGATAATTTAGATTTCGTTATGCCCATGCTAAAGATCGTCTACAAAGACGACTATTTAATGCGGCTAAAAAAGCACTAACACGTATTCCAACAAGACCTATTCGAGTTGGTGATAAGGAACTTGATACTGACTGTCCGGTTTGCATTGATCCATATCGAGCTGGTGATATTATTCGTTCACTTCCGTGTAGGTAAAGTCCTCTGATGTATTCTTGCTTTTTTCATCTGAAAATTTTTTCAGGATAACTAAATCTGGTTTTTTTTTCTTTATACGATGAATTTTCAGGTTTACTCAATTTATGGGTAATTAAGATTCCCGAATTTTCCAAAATTTACGGCACAAAAAAAATGAAAAATTTTAGGCATATATTTCATAAGACATGTGTTGATCCATGGCTTCTAGAACACCGAACATGTCCAATGTGTAAAGGTGATATTCTAAAGGTATTTTCAATTCTTCCTGCTTCATATGAATGCACTGATCGCATCACTAATGTTCAAAGATATGATTAAATGTATAAATATAGGCAGAATATAGGCTTGATTTCAGGCTTTTGGGTACTATGTATCGTTGGGTCGACGTACACCAAATGATACACATAGGGAAAGCATTCATCAATCACCAAGGGATGGTGATATGTTAAGCGTCGATGTGCATTCATTAACCGGATCTGAATCTATATTTCCATATGCTGGACATTCCGAAGTCCAAGATCCATCCAATACGCCAGCTTTACCCCAACTTGTTCAGGTAAAGAGTATCGGTCAAGTCAGAACAGAACAGCAGCATCATCCAGAATTACTTGAAATTCAGAGAAAAATTATTCTGAACCTGAAGAATTCAAATTTAGATATAAATTATTATTATACTGATAT